TTATCTATTTATTTATTTTTATGACTAAAGCATTGCAAGGCCCAGCTCAGATATGCTCCCTGAGCATACAAATCCTACCAATGGCTGCATATTTGTCAGCAGCTTCAGTGGAAGCTGGTGTCAAAAAAGACACTGTTAGAAAGGAGTCTTATTTATCTTAAATACACAAATACTTTCTATCTAAATAATGTCTGAAAAAGGGTTGTTGGAGAAGAAATGAACTTACTTGTGTTCTGGAGAGCATTGCTCTGAGACAACTTTGCCAGCCCTGCTTCTGGATGCCTATTTTTCCTAAGGCAGATGCAGACAATAACCCCTAACTCCTTACAAAGTACTTTGTGTACTCCTATGTCTCTCCTCCAAAATGTCCTTCCAAGAGCACACAGGAAAATCTTTCAGAAAATATCTAGCTGAAGCATCTTTAATATACTCCACATTTCACTGACATGCATATGAGAAATATAGTCTTCATGCACAGCGGAATCTGGGAATCATTAGGATGCAAAGGTCTGTACATGTAGACTGGGATCCTTTAAAGGACCTATGAATATGGAGGAACAGATGCTTCAGGGAATTACCATATGAATCCATGGCATGCACAATACCATATTAAAAATGCCATTTATGATGATTATGTCATTTTTGTGGAAACAAAATCTGCAGCAAATGGCTAGAATACTGCTATTCAAACCCTTCAGAAATGCAGAGCTTCCCTAGCATCAGTTGCTGTAAGCCTGACCTTTTTGCAATGTAAATACACTCTGGAAGAATAAGAGGTACAAAATATGGCTCCAAGTCTCAAAGTTTGGTTTGAGAGTCCCAGCTAGGATTAATTAATGCTCCTGCAAATTGGATTTCAGTGACAGAGAAATGTTTAACATTCAGTGCTGCAGGTTACCTGTGCTAGATGGTATCCAGCAAAGAAGTCTGCCCTACAGCAGGTTTTCTTACAAGTTTCCTGGCAGCCATGCTGTTTTCATTGCTCCTAAGAGCTTCACCCCCCCAAAAAAAAAAAAACACACTGAAAAGCTGTGTCAGGAGAAGAAGAAATCCTTCTTCCCCATCCTGCTCTGTTTGTTTGCCTTGCATTCAGATTCTCACAAGCCCATCACTTTACCAACCTGCTCAGCAGCATGTGCTGTGGGTGCTGAGTGCAGCCAGGCAGGTCCTACCACCCCATGGAGCATCCTGCTGAGCTCACCTGTGACCAGACAAGTAGCCTCTATGGAGGACACCAAGCAGCACACTGAAAATGAAGCGGTGATATGGAATCCTGGCTTTTTGCCCTCCTTGGCAAAGCTCCAAGAGACTTCAAGAGCATTTGTCTCCCTGCAGTGAGGCAAGAATGCAGCGTCTTATCTAGCTTCCTGCCAAACATACAGCAAGAAGGTAAATTCCTAGAAGACATTTCAAAACCAATTTTCAAGTGTATACTTTCCCATCAACCCTACAGGATTTATTTGCCGAGAGCAATCATTTGCAATTCAGTGCAATGTTTTTTTTTCAGGCTCTAGTGCCTTGGCTCTCCTGCTTGCTTGGGGACTCTGTCTCAAGTATTTTCCTCTTCAGAGCAGGTTGGGCCTCACCTGCTGACCGCTGGGCTGCTCCCTGCAGGATGCCTTCAGATTGAATCCCAAGTACATTCCTGAAATACTTGTTGGGTGGATCAAACTCATTCTGGGGTCTGTCCTGCTTGAATATGCAAAGGATTCCAGTGTTATCTGGTATATCTGATAGGGCACTGGCCTATGCTCTCCTCTCCTACCTTATCTTTCCACTCTACAATCAGCTAGAAAATGCTGGTGCTGCTGTGTTACTGAAGGTAATTCCTCCCTCCACTGATCCCCAGGGTGAGACGTGTCCACCAACACAGGCTCCTAACGCAGCTCACCACGTGCAGTCTGCCAAGGTTTTATTAGCCAAGTCCTTTCCCCACACGAACAAGCTGTAAATATTATTTTTTCTAATGAATACTCAATGTTAATAATTTATTTCTTTGCAGAGTATAGGAGAAATTATCCTTTTGGGGGTGTGGTGGGGGAGAGGGAAGTTTGTTGGTATGCACACTGTGGGAAGTCTGCACATACCCAGCACCTGCAGCAGACTCAGGTACCATGTGACTGTGATTGCAGCCTGCTAGTAACCTGGGAAATCTTTACTTTTCATGGGAAAACACAGATGCAAATAAATTTAAAATGCATCCTACGAGAGTGTGATTAACAAATTAGTCATTTCAGACAAAAACATTGAGGGGGGGGGGAAAAAAAGGTTTTTTTGTTTTGTTTTTACTTTTCCAGTTAAAAATCAACAACAAACAAATCAAACAAACAGGTTTCCCAGTTCCAAATAACCTTTGCTTTCACAAATCAGAGTTGTTTGCTGGATCCTGGGTTGTTTTGTGCAATATTTGGGCTGGAAGCAGCCCTTAAAGATCAGGAAGCTCAGGTCTTCAGGAGCTCCAGGGCCCTTTTCCTTCTCTGCATTTTGGGCAATGCCTTGGCACTGAAGCTTCAGCAGAGACTTTCCAAGCTGGGGGACCTCTGTTAGAAACTGTGACTGAAGGGAGAGAAAGAGAAGCATTTTAAAACCTCTTAGTGTGGAAAGAGTGTGAGTAAATGGGCAGCTGGTGTAGAGCTGGAGGAGGAGCAGAGGCAGGACTGACACTAATGCCTTGCCATATAGAGCAGGACATCCCTGGGCTGAAGGGAGAAGATGGTGAAAAGGGCAGGCAGGACAGGGATCAGTGAACAATGCAGCTGTGTTTGAAGGATGCTAGAACAAAAAAAAAAAAAAAAAAAAAGACTGTGAGACGAGGAGTGTAAGGGGAGATGGCCTTTATCAGATTAGTTGGCACAGCTGGAAAAGGCAGAAGGTGCTTCTGGACTGCAAGCCCTTCTCCAGGCTACTTACATGCCTACAGGTTTACCCACATGCAGCAGGTGGAAATATCTCTTCTTCCTGCAGACTCATATCACTTGCATTCAGAGACCTGAATGGATGTCACTTCTGAAATGACACTGACATTTGTAGCTAGTGGAATTTGTAAGAGCACTTTTCGTACCCAACAATGAACACTCCAGCACAGCTACACATGAAGTGGTGTGCTTGCTTCCCATAGTTCTTTCTTGTTTATTTATTTATTTATCTCCTGAAATATGCCTGAAAACTCAAATGGCTTACATTTGAAAACATTAAGCATCTTTCTGCTGCTGTGTTTTTGTGTGAAGCAAGACAAAAGGAGTAATCCTCTGGAACCAAGGGATGACCCATCTGTCTGTACCAGTGATAATTCCTCTTTTGGAGGAATACAAAACATGAAAGATAGCTGCAACTGCAGCACTGCTGTTCTAGCTTTAGGGTTGTTCTTCAGAGGCAATCAAACAATCAGTCCAGTAAATAAATCTTGTGACTTGCTTTCTCCCACTCACACTTGCCAGAGCCAACAAAAGATATAATAATGTTCATTGTTTTCATTAAAAATAACATGGGGGAAGTAATACTTCCCCTTAAATGAGTCAGCCTGAGGCAGCTTTTTTTAAAAGAATGGTGAATCTTGTTACAGGACATTTCAGCTTCTGAGAAATGCCAGTGCAAGGTCTCCACAAATGTGTGTCCACTCCCAGCAGGCCCATCAGCAAAGGTCAGTGGACAGACCAAGCATCTGTCTAGGGTTTCAAAATGCTGGTGTCCTTCAGAAAAGGTTAATTTTGGTCAGATCTTGTCAGTTTGAACAGGATGATGGAGCCCCTGTAGGCAGTGCTGTCCCAGGAGACAGTGCAGTTAAGCAGTTCAGTTGAGTAAGCAGTGGGGGCTTTTGGCTACAAGCTGATGTTTATTTGCATTGTGGCATGGACGCTGACCTGGCTTCTGCTGGAGAACATCTGACCTTGTTTCCTCCCTTTTCCCTTCCCAGATCAGGTCCTGGGGTGACAGAGTCAAGTTCCAGCACCAGTGGTTTGAGTTCTAGCATTTAGAAATACAAACTTTTTTTTTTTTTTTGGTCTATCTTGCTCATCCTGCTCAGTGTCGTTATTGCACGACTGTGCATTTCAGCACAGAGCGACGTGCTCCCTGCCTACAGCTCTGTGCAGTAAGCCGGGTTCGTTACTATTATGGCCATTATTAAAACACAAAGGAGAGATAAAGGCATGTGTTTCAAAATCAAAAAGCAACAGGATGGCAGATGCACACAAGTGGTTGAGTAGTTATCACGTTTCTGGATGGAACTTCTTATCTGAAGTGAAATTTTCATGTTACATTTTGAACTCTCATAAACACCTGCTGAACAGAAGGCAAAGTACAATAAAGCAGTGCTTAACTTCAGGATGGCATTGACTGGGCTTCGTTGTATCTCTGGGTAAACAGCATTGAGTGTGCCCAACAGTTCCCTTAGCACAGTAATCTATTTAAAATGATAATGAGAATTTAATCAATTACTGATTTCCGGGGGGGGGGGGGTTCATCAGGCATCGCAAATCACCACTGATCTTTGATCAAGCACACGACTGGTCTGAATAAATATATGCAAGGAAGTGAGTCAAGGTGTGATAGTAGGCAAAGTCTTCTCAACAGGGGTTTGTTTCCTGGTTGGTATCAAGATAGATAAGCTTTATTTATCAAGCTCTATTTCTGGAGCTGTATAAGTAGAAATCAGCAGACATTTGGGCTCAAAAGGATGATGCCCAAACTTGTGTTTAGTTTCGTCTCCATCACAAGTTCAGTCATGATCTCAGTCAATTCCTATTCTTTTTGCACAGGTGATTTGAGATAAGGTTACAAACCAGAACCAGAATGAGAAACTTTCCTTCCTTAGAAGTAGATCTGGGTTTTGTCAGTTCTGCTGGTTTTCATCATTGATGCAAGTCTGGTTCCTTGTTTCTCTTGTTCAGTACTTTTTTTTTCTTTTTTTTTTTTTCCTATAACCTACCACTCTCCCCATGTTGCTTTTCCTAGCAGAGCTCACCATAAACACAAAATGTTTATTCTGTCTCCCTTTTCAGCATGATGCAGTGGAAGAAGCAGCAAGCTGGGATCAAGGAGGCATGGAGAGCTGTTGCAAGTAGCTTGAAGTTGTAGCCATATGTGAAAACACCACCAGTTCTGAAAATGGACCATGGATTTGCAATGATTAGTGGGACAACCAGAAAGGAATGGAGAGATACTGGAGAGCCCTCCCCACCATCTGCACACTGGAGCCATTTGCACTGTGGGATTCCCTAGTTTCTAGCATTACAAAAATAATCAACACCAAATGAAAAAGTATTTACTCTTAAAATCTCAATATAAAAGGAACCTCATATATAAGTGACCCTTTCTCCCCCTACGTTTATATATACTTCCATAATGCTGAACTGATTTCTTCATTTCTTTGCCTTCCATTAAAACAAACAAGCAAGCAAAACCAGTCCAAGTTTTATGTAAAGGACTTGCTGCATAAACTCCATGATTCACCGTCTTGGTGGGCACTGCATTCCCAAATACTAGGCCCAACAGCAGGAATTCTGGTAAGTTGAATTAAATAATTTACAATAATATCTTGCTACTGCATTTAAAACATCTCTTGCATAACTGGCTCTTTTGGTGGGATCTTTACTTCAGGAAAGAAAACAAATATATACACACATATTCAATTAAGAGGTTGTAATGTGCTGCTACATTTGTTTGGCCAAATGTGGGGTGCACACCATCACGTTGAGAGTGACCAGAGTAAGAGGAGTCAGGAAAGAAGGGCTGCACACCCATATTTGCATTAACAGCCCAACACTGCCCCAAAACAGTCTGTGTCCTGGGTTTTCTTAGAGTCCCTCTTTGGAGTTTCAGAGCTGCTTCTCTTTCATCTTCTCCAGACCTTTCTTTTTCTCTTATACAGCAAAGCCAGGACAACACTCAGGCACCTTTGCCCTGTGTTTTACACATGCTATCCATTCTGATGGAAGTCCCCTTTTTGGTTCTCCGAAGTCTTAAGAGTCAGTTCTCAGGTTTCGGGGAGCAAAAGGGGGGCATGTGAGCAAGGCTGGTTGTTATTTGCCAAACCTTTATATTTCAGCTAATACTTCTGGCCTTAAAAACACACTTCAAATGGCACTGATATGGCCTCAAGGGCTGGAGAAGGACCTTCCCCCCTGGCTCTCCCATAGGGGTACAGCTGCATCTTATCGGTATCTTGAAGGAGCACTGCCCAGCCCATAACACTACAAATTATCTGACACTTTGGGCCAGATCTTGCTCAGTTCAAACACTCAAATAGCTCCTTCTGTGAGCAGGAGTCCACCATCAGCAGCCAGGTCATTACTGAAGCTATTTAAACACTTTCCACTCCCTTCCCCACCCCTCCTCCTTCTCTTGCCTGCCTCTCCACTCCCAAAACCAAACAATTCCCCCTTTCCCATGCTATATTAAGATCCTATGCAGAAAATCCAGTGCATTATCCTCAGGATTAAGTAGCATTAGAAGAGCATATTAACATGTTGCTGCTGTGTTTATATCAGTGACACATTAATTCTCCACTGGTACTAAATGTTCTCAGAGATTCCCTGTGAATGGAAGGTGGATAGCATTCCAAAACCATGCATTTAGAGGCTGTGGAACAGTTTAACTACAGCTATATTAAGGAATTTGCCTCAGGAATGTAAACAGATCCAGAAGATTTTGTAAGCCAAGGTAATTAATTTTTAGAGTTGCCGTGCATGCACATACATGTACACACAGATACTTGCTCACACTTCTATACCTGTACCCCAACATAAATAGACGCCAAAACCAGTATTTATAAGGAACTAATAATAGTAGATGATTTTGCCACAGAGGCAAAAACTTCATACGTATTTGGGATGGAGTGGAGGGTCATTCACTGGTCAGACAGGATGTATCCATTCATGATACAATACTAATGGCTGACCTGGGTCTAGCTCCAGTGCATAGAAATTGTAAATAAAATATATCTCTGAGGATGCTAATATGGTTAAATAAATTTGCCAGAACTAAGAACAGCTTGACCTCAGGAAAAGAAAAATAAAATCTAATCTTGTCAGGCATTTATTGGAGCCTTGGGTCATCTTAATCTTCCAGTGTAATTTGTTTACTCCCTATATTTTTGTGCAGCTCTCAGCCACTCAAATGAAATGTTTTTATACAGTTCAGTCAGTTAATTATAGCTTTAAACTCTTCCATACTCACCTTTTAGGATTGGACTGTTTCAAGGATACAATCAAAATCTAAAACTGCACCTAAAATCTTTGAGAGACAGTTTTGAAAAAAAAGGATCAAGGCTTATAAACCAGGACTTCAGTAACTGGAGATGTTCAATAATCCCTGAGCACCACTCTATTAAACAGTTGACTGCTCAGATTCTGCACATGCACTCAGCTGCCCTCCCCAAGCAGTTACCTACTGTCCTATGTTTAGTCACAGTCTTGAAACTACATTGTGCACTAGCTCAGTGCCCTGAGGATCCTGCTCCAGCTTGTGCCAGGTTAGGTCTTCATCCATTATCTTGGAAAAAATCAGGTCCCTTTTAAAATCAAAGTATGGCCACTTCGTTTAAACAGAAAATTAGTGATGCTCTTGGTGCTGTCTGTCTTTTACATAATACTTTGTAGTTAAAGTATTTGCCCAAGAAGGGCCACATTTTTGCCCAACTGAGGGTTGATCTTAGATGGTACAAACCAGAAAATGCCAAAATGGCATGGGATAATACATGAAGCCAGAGCCTTAATGTCAAAGTTTAGAGCACTAGAGCACATCTAACTCTAGTGTGGTCAGAGAACTCCCACAGAAGACATAATTCCATCTTCCAGTCAAAACATAGAGATGTTTTTCACTGGCACAGGCTGCCCAGAGAAGCTGTGAATGCACCATTTGTGCAGGTGTTCAAGATCAGGCCAGATGAGGCCCTGGCCAGCCTGGTCTGGTAAGAGGTGTCCCTACCCATGGCAGGGGGTTGGAATTAGATGGGCTTTAAGGTCCCTTCCAACCCAAGCCATTCTGTGATTCTATCCATGATTTCAGTTCATGTCTATCTTAAATTTTAATTTGGTCATTTGAATTCTTACCATGCTTTAATATTACTGTTTTTCTGTAGTGGACTAGGAAACTCACCATGTTTCCTATACTTTAAATAAAACAAAATAACTATTAAAACAAAGCAGACATAAAGGCTAAAACTGTTAAAGAAAAAATGTTTTGTGATATGAATTCTTTGAAGTCTGTTCCTAAAACATGACACATCGCAAGCTGCCAAATTACCATTCATTCTTGTTCAAATTTGTTCATACTGTTAAAAGTATTGTTTGGAAAGTTCTTGTTAATTTACAAACTGGGATAAGTTAGAGGAGTGTCTTCCTTTTATTTTGTCCAAGTAAAGATATGTATTTGTTTTCTTTTTTAAACGTCATTGAGGTTTTAAGTAGTGTTGGGTGCGTTTCTTATCAGGATGGCATCTAACAAAACCCTAATCTCAAGGATCTCCTCAGTGACCATAGACAGTGTGAGAGGAAGAGATTTCTGTTCTCCCTGCAAAAAGAAGGAACAGAAAGATGCTTCTGCTCCAGAGCAGCAGCAGCAGAAGGACTCTTAGCAGCCTCATCCTAGCCACTTATCTCAGTGTAACTGAGCCAGAAGTTTTACATACACAGACTTTTATCCTGTGGTGAATATGCAGAAGCTCATCTACTTTTCCCTGGGTGGTGGGTGGCTTTTCACTTAAAAGAACAATTAAAACAGTTTTTGTTTGTTTGTTTGTTTGTTTTGTTTTGAAAGTAAGTTTCCATGCAGAAACATACACACACAAAAAAATCCATGAAACTCCTTACTCCATAGGCAAAACAGCCCAACTTCTGGCATCCTGTCAGGTAGATTCTGTTTTTTCTTGCCAGTAGCAATACATGCACAAACAGGTATTCATAAAATCAAGTGTTATTTTTCTTTATTTTTCTAACTTTATAAGATAAATGTTTGGTTTCTGTGTGAGACACTTGGAACCCATGGCTAATTAGATCCTGATTTATAGTTTGAACTCAAGTCATGCTTCACCATCCTGGTCACAGCCCAAGATCTGGTTCTCAAAGTTATGACAGAAACGCTGAAGGATGGCACCTGCAGGCTGGTACAACATGGCTCTTCACTGCAGACATGCAGAGCAGGACCTGGTGGGCTTGACTCTGTTCTTCCCTTGTGGGATGGTCATTTTTTTTAGGCCAAAATAGTCAAAGGCCTTCCACATACCTCTCATAAGCTAGCTGCTAGGTCTCACTCTATCTGCACTAATAAAAGGGATTCAGATTATCTCCACCCATAATTTATAGGACTCTCAAGGATGGGATTATCTATTTTTGCCTACTTAAACATGTGATATGTAATACAAACTCATCTTTTACCCTCCCTCTATAATCAGTGTAGACAATAAACACTTGGGAGGACAATTCAACCCCTCTTAGACACTTCTTCAAGGATCAGATGGATTATCTTGCATACGTGTCTCTGCACTGCCTGCAAATGACTGACCTCAGTCAGAGATTGATTCCACTTTTAAGTTACACAAAATGAAGTCCAAAAAAGAGACCGTGCCCAGCTTCTCTCATGTCTCCCAACATTGCACTGCAGCTCAGCTGTCTCAGCAGTACAGGGGAAAAACATCTGATCCTGTGTCAGTTGTCAACATTGCAGCTCCCCCATCAACTCTGCCCTGGCAAGAGCTAAGCCCTTTGCCTCTATGTGAAATTTTGCTGAGTGTATATCCATTGCTGTTATTCATTAAATGAATTCACCTGACCATAGGGCTGCCACAAACAGTTCATTCTTGGTACTGTTTTGTAAAGGGATGGTTGATAGCAAAGCTGTTTATTCCATCTACAGTAAAAACCTCCCTCCAGGATTGTGCAACCATAGGTTAGAGTGCCTACTGATGTTTTTTAAAGTTAAAATGTCCTTTCAACTTATTGATTATGGAGACAAAAGGAAGCAACAGTCCAAGTGCCAACAGACACTCAAAATCTGCATCTGAAGGCACCTAGAACTACTGGTACTTTATGCTTTCTCCATGGGGTATCAGCTTCCGCGTTTGAATTTCTTCTCAGAAGAAGCTCAGTGTCATTTCAGATCTGAGACTCATCAGGGTCCTCCATGTGGCCAGCCATTTGCTTTTCTCAGCTGTGGGGTCTGACCAAACAGGTGACGGGCATACATTGGCAGGTTGCAATTGGACTTGCCTAGCTGGTGTCCCTGGCCTCCCCACTGTTGATCCTGTTACTTTGCCCTGTGATATTTTTTTGGAACATTGCAGTTTCCTGTGGTTTTGCACTGTCCGTTTCCTGATGTCCGTTCCACTTCTTGTTACCCTGTTTTGCTCTTGCCCCCCTCCCCCTCATTTAATCTCTCTGTTTGATTTCCTTAAAACCAAAAACAGACTAACCAAAAATAATAATAATAATAAACACACACACACACCAAATAACCATCATGAATCATCATCTTAAAGTATCTTTCTCTTTTGTCCTGTTTAGAGTTG